GGAAGGGCCAGGGGAGGGGGGGGGGGGAATCCCTGCAGAGAGCTGTGAGTGACAGTCATGGCTCTCTGCAGGGAGATGATCGAGAAGTGAGCGAGCGACGGTATGCGTTCGCTCACTTCTCGATCTATTGAGCCGACGTGTGACGTGTTTCATTGCCACACATCAGCTCGAACTATGAGGTTGAGTGAAAATCACTCACCTCATAGTTCTCCTTTAATGGTCCGCAAAAGCGGGAGTGTGGCAGGGGTATGTCCGTTGCCACACTCCCATAAAGTAGGTTTATAGTAAATTGAGAAGGCATTTGTAGCTTTTGCTTGGTTGATGAACAACTGTGTCCTGATAAAGCTTTCAGTTTGGTTCTGGTAACCCAGCAATTGAGTAGAATACACACCATTGAAATAACTGAAATTCAACAGAAAAGAGAATTATGAAAGATACCAACCAGCAGCACCACTGGAGGACATCCTATCAGAGCAATCGCAGTGGAGAGTTTGCGCTTGTTTCCACCACTGTAGGTTCCTGCTGACTGGTCTGCATATTTTGAAAGGCCCAATTTTTCAATTCCCCATTCTGCAACCTGTTAAAGGGAATAGGGATTACACTGAGAACATGATGCATATAATATTGGTATAGTTACTAATAAAGCAGGTTTCCCAAATGGTGTTATATGGCAAAACACAAAAACCTACATCACTGATATCTAGTGGCCACAAGGGCATTAAAATATCATCTTGAAAATTTGAATACTTGATATTTCATATCCTGTTGAGATTAATAATCATTTTACCCTTTCAATCTCTTCCTCAGGAACTCCCCTCAGACGTCCATACAATTGCAAATGTTCGCGGCCAGTCAGCAGTTCATCAATGGCATCAAACTGGGGGCAGTAGCCCATGTTCTGATGTACATCCGCAATGTCTGTCAATATGCTGAAAGATAATTGATACAGTTTGTGATAAAACATTGGAATTTGCTAAGAAAACACAGAAAACTTGTACAAATTAACCCTTTATTACCATTACCATATGAAACATTTTATATGTTTAAGTGTGTATATACTCAAAACTTTTTTTTCCAGTTTTTGATAGAATAGGGAAGGGACAAAACACCTGGCAGGTTATTTTTTGCTGAATAACTAAATGTGCCGAGCTACAACAATGATCAGATATAAAGAGTATAAAAAAACAGTGACTCAAACAAATGTCAGTGAAAAAAAATCAATCAGGTGTAAAGTCTTTAAATCTTCATAAATCTGCAAAAATATCCAAATATAGCAATAGTGATGAATATTTCTTGTTCCTTCACGAAATGCATCACATGCACCACACCAGATATAGGGGTGTTCACCTTATTGATAGACCCCAGCAAGAGGTCAAATCAGGCAATTCCCTTCTTAACCAGGGGAGGGGGCCCTCAGCTCCAATCGCTCAAAGGTGCCCTCCAATGGTGTAATCAGACCAAACAAACAGATCGGTGCAACACTTCCTAAATAGGAAAGCAATAGCCTCCAATCTTTTTCGATCTATAGGCCTCCTCAGTATAAGGTGTCAATGCCAGGATCGTGTTGACCAAAAAAAGAAAGCAAACACCATAGCGCGTACCATCCAAACAGAGTATGATTTATTAAAAGAAAATTACTCACATAAAAGCAGTGGTAACATAGCATGGACTCTCTCTTAAGAATATGTGCAAGAGTTTCAAATGACTGCGGCCGTCAGTCGTAGAGATCAATGTGACGTCAAATGCCCTCTACGACTGACGGCCGCACCTGATTGATTTTTTTCACTGACATTTGTTTGAGTCACTGTTTTTTTATACTCTTTATATCTGATCATTGTTGTAGCTCGGCACATTTAGTTATTCATTTCTCACGTATACACACTCACAGTGGGTGTACATTCCAGTGCCTTGTAGCTGTTAGCTTGCTTATTGGCGCAGTTCATTTTCTATATTTATTATTAGGTTATTTTTTGCTGGTTATGTTCTCAGAGATTCAACATAAAGTAAGAGGGAATCTCCAAAAGTGAAGGAATTTCCCCTCTTAGACAGTTGTCCCCTTAGGAATATTTCCTTTCACTTCTTGTGCTGGTGACAACTGTAAAATGTTGTTTTTTCCCCTTTAGTTCTTGCCTAAGTTTAGCTTCAAAAATAGAGAGATGAATCTCCCCAGTAGGAACATACACAACAATAAAAACTTGACAGAGGGTCTAATCTTTTCTCATTCGATCCAAAACTAAAATAAAAAAGTGCATGCCTTTACATACACTTTAGTATCAGGAATAACAAACATGAATATCCATATCACACTGGCATATGTAGCTCATTTTGTATGGTGCTCTACCTTACCCAAGGCACCAGAAAAAGTACTGAACCCAAAAGCCAAAATTAGTCATTGTAGAATTACAGAGCATTACATTTACCAGAAATAATAAAGACAGATTACGTGGCCTGGGGGAATATACATGAGATGCCATGTATCAAATCGCAAGAAGCCCATTGCATCACCAGGGAATATCATAATCAGTATTTATAGAAGCCCTATGAGGTGATCTGTAGTGTGGTCACGTTTGCTGCTTCAGCTTCCACATTACTTGTCTTCTGTATTACATTAGTATACTTTCAGACCCAGACACACGGGTGTTAAGTTAAGCAGGTTTTTGTACAAGACCAGTTGTGTTGTCTTTGAAACAATAGGAAAATAAAATAATATTGGTGTACATAAAACTAGTTGCTGAGAAAATACACATTTTAACTGTTCCCATTGTCAAACACTGAACCAAAGCTTAATTGTAGCCTTGTTAATAAGAATCAACAATATTTTGACCTTTTGACATATTTGACCTTCGGCATTTAAAGTACTGTGCTGCTATCTGGAGTTTGAAGGAAGAAATGTTTTCCTCATAGATAATTATGTATGGAGGAAGTGGAAAGGGCTCTGCCCGTGTGGGAATGGCTACAAACATTCAAAGTATAAAAGGCTTGTGCCACAAGCTGAAAGAAGAACTTTTACACGGGACAACACTAAAGCAGAACTATGAGAGAGAGAGAGAGACTGCCAATATCCAGAACCCATTTCCTGCGTTCACCTATTGCGGAAGTCCTCTTCAATAAGGAAATTTTAGTGACTTTTAGTGTATCCCATTGCATACAGTCTATTTGCTAGGAAAAGGTAGATGATGTGCATGAATGTATGAATGCAAGCATTTGTAGCACTTGTATGTCTTTTCTTTGTGAAATAAGACAAACAGTTAGCCAAAAAGAAAAAGTAAACTATTTTTACATGTGCAAGCTCTGTCACTGGGATGGGAAGTGATGGGAAACTTTTCCCAAGTAGGGCACTGATTCTATTTCTAACTAAAAAATAAAGCTTTGGCTAAAGTTGGATACCTTTGCTGTGATGGTGCAAGCCAGATCATTATGAACTGCCCAGACCTCTTTTATTGTACATTGTTTTAATGCTCAGTTCTATCATTCCACACATGAACTTGACCTTCTATATAACTTCATTTCCATTAACCATTTTATTTACATAAAACATAAGAACGTAAGGAGATGCCATATTTTCAGCAAGAACTCTTACATTTAATATTCATGATTGCAATGGCAGTCCTTTGCTCTAATAATCTCTAACATCCAGCTGCTGAAGCACTTTTGTTAGAGGTAAGGCTTAAAACAGCCAACTCCAGAGTTTATGCACCCACCATTAACCCATGCAAGTCCCATACCAGTCCACCACTTTTTTTGTATGCCAGCACCTATAACAAGCACCTAATGAAAGGCTGGTTTTCAGAAAGTCATTGTACAAGAAAACAGTGCCAACATCCATTTTTTCAATGCCTTCAACCTCTAATGAAGCCTGGTCATTGCTAAAGGAAGCAGAAGGGGACTATGCTCCTGAGGACTCGATGGCATCACCGGAAACTGCATAGTAAAATAGGCAAGATGTGTTGGCCCCTTAGGCCTGGTTCACACCTAGACGGCATCATTTTTGTGCATTTGTATGCGCAGGTTCAGCGTGTGGTTATTTGCACATTGAGCATATTTTAACGTGTTTTTGATTGGCAGCGTAAGAAACATTGCGGTCAATGGACAAAAACGCGTACAAACGCGTAAACATGCACATTAAATTATGCAACATGCTTCTGCTGCGCATTTGCTGGCGTTTCCATGGAAGTCTATGGGGAAAAACGAGTTTGCAACTGCCAAAAGAAGCTCATGTATTTTTTCTGCATTTGGCGTTTTCCTGCTGGTGTTTTGCTGCTCAGGTGTGAACAGGGGCTACTGAAAGTCATGGGATTTCTTGTGTTGGGCATTTAAAAGCACTTTTCCTACTGTTCAAAAACACCTAGGTGTGAACCAGGCCTCACTGTGCCTCATCTTCTGCACCTGTGGGTTGCTAGTGCTTTTTATGCTTACATTAAGCAGTGGTTGGCAGAGCATATAATAATGACAAATGCACAATTTATCTACAGCTGCATAGGTTTACATTGTTTATGCAGTTAAACATATTAATATTCATTATTTATCATGTTGGTTTCATAATGACACATTTTAATGATGCCTCAGTAGAAAGCATTCAGTCCAAAACAACGTGTACATTTGCTGGCAAAAACCAAAACACTCTACCAAGGTCCTCTGATACCATATTATTAACTTGCAGACACCCTCCTAGACATAAACACTGTGCATATACAGCTACGTGGGTACTGGCTGGCATCAGCACTGCCCTAGGTCACCATGAGCTGAAGACGTGGGCAAACGCTTGTTTTCCACACTAACAGTGTAGATATGAAAAACATGTTTTGAAAACGACCTGCCAGATTGGATGTAAACGCTTTGCAAAAACAAATTCATTTGCTGATGGTGTTCAGTTTAACTACACAAATAAACGTGGCTGTTGACTTTCTGCATCCTGTCGGAGCATGTCCCCGGCACAATATGCTGCATCTGGGCAGAGGGGGGGGGATTCATCTCTGGTATATGGCATTTTTTTAGGTTTAAGAGATTCAGATCAATTGCATTAGTAACAGGAATAACAACATCACTAAAACTACCTGTAATAAATGGTTATACGGCTTAGATGGCATTATTAATGTTTTAACTATTCTGTTGGCATAATAACTCTGACGTATACTGTGTAAGCCTCTGGTAAATATAATTATGAAAGACATGTTTGGGATCAGTGCTGAAGATGGATGGTGTTATTACTTCTTTAAGGCCTTGTTCATACCAAGCGCGTTCCAGGAGCAGAGCAGAGCAGTTACAGACCGGAGCAAAACTGCGTCCAATGTATTCCAATGGTATTTTTAGCTCCAGTTCACATCGCAGCCTTCCGTTCCAGAGCAGGTAAAAAAACTGCAGCAGGCCCTATTTTACCTGCTCTGGACCTGCTCTGGAAATGCATGCAAACGCCTTGGAACGCACTGAAAGCCCATTTTAAACTTAAAACGGCCCGGAACGCATCGAAAACGTGGCAAAAAACACGGCACAACCCACTGCACTGCGTGTGCAGAAACTCATGCAGATCTGCTCTGCATTTGGTGTGAACAAGGCTTTAAGAGCTCCTGAAATATGTCTGTGCTAGTGTATTACTCACCACTGGCAGAGAGTAACAAGATAATATACTTAGTCAATTGTGAAACCACAAATATTTATGCTTGTTCATTTATAGGCCCCAATGCAAAGAACGCGGCGGGCAACTGATGTCTATTTTCTTCTGAGACTTCCTGACCTGCCTTACTACATTCAGTAGGGGACCTCACCTTAGATGCTATAATATATCCAAGCCTAGAGTACCTTGCCTTATTTCCACTACTCAGTTTACTGGCAGTTCTGCTACTGATGCCAATTCCTGCTTTATTCCCCTCAATCTTCATTTTGGTATCCCAGTTGAATATGACACTGTTTGTACCCATCACCATAACTAGACTTGTTCACCCAATGCACACTTCTAATTTGCTAAATTGCAATCCTGTGTACACAGAAACAAATGTAACGTTAAGGGGTGCTGCAGCACGCGATGTTAGGCAGCTCATTGAATAGACTGCACTTCACCTCCATGCATGAAAATTTAGTGCAGGCTGAATTTTTTGCAGTGCAGCACAGGAGCATTGGGATGCCAAAATGAATGGCACCACAGTGCACCACGGTATGTATGGTGCATTACCACAATGCAATTGTATAAACAGTGTATCTAAAGCCAAATTTTCTTTCAGTTTTGCTTAAAATTTAAGTAGTGAAGGGTTACAGCCTGTGTCAGGCTTTTATTGCTTTCTATGCCTGCCGGAGGGACTATTCCCCACTGTCATCATGTCTGAAAGGGAGAGAAAGTCCCACATTTTGAGTTGGAATAGAAGATAAATCTTCCAATAAGGTAACTTTTTCAAGTAACAACTGTCTAAGAGACGGATTTCCTCCCTTTGAAGAAATCTCTTCTCACTTCCTGTTGTGTCTTAAGACTTCTTAAGGAAGTGAAGGATAGGATAATTTCCCAAAGGGACACAGCAGGAAAAACCCTGACCAGGGTTTAAACCATTCCATACTGTATCCAAAACGGAAAAAAAAAAATGTATACTTTTGATTTAATAAATGAAACATGACATGATCTAGTATTTCCCATTTTTCCCAATTATTGACCAATTGGACTAAACTTTAAAAATGTATTGACAGTAGACATGTGCGCTGGCAAAAAAACTGTTTTGGTTGGTTTCTGATTTTCTGTTATTGTGTTTTTCGGGATTCGGGTCCAAAAGTCAATTAGTTCGAATTAGTCTAATTTTTGTTAATTATAGATGCATTAAATTATATTTACAAATTAGTTTTTTATTGCAGTAAAGGGACCCTTTAGGTCGGGTAGGAATTTTAGGGGGGCCCCAACAAAACTAAAATAAAAAGCATGGGGTCCCCCCTAAAATCCCTTACTAGACCCTTGATCCGAGCAGCAACCTGGCAGAGCAGGAAGGGGGCCACATGCCCTCAACATGGGAAGGGTGCTGTGCAGGGGGGACCCCCTGGGAAAGCACCTTGTCAATGAGGTCAAGGGCCTCTTCCCCACAACCCTGGCCTGGTGGTTGTTAGGTTCTGCAGGAGGAGGGCTTATCTGAATCTGGGGCCCCCTGTCAAATAAAGGACTTTGTATATTGTAACAACTACCCCTTACTCATTCACGAGGAGGGGGGGGGTTATCTGGGTGTCCCCTTTATGAAAGGGGGCACCAAGATTAGGCTAAGCCCCCTTGCCTACAGAACCTCACAATCACTTGGCCAGGATTTATGCCTCCTTTATGGGTCATACAGAGGTGAGGAAAAGGATCTTGTCACTAAATAAAAAAGCAAAACCATGAAAACTCTTACTACAAACTATTTGCTCAAAAAACAAAACAAAAAAAACAAAACAACAAATTGTGTGTGGTTCGCCTAAATATTCCAGCCAGAACCTTATCTGGTCATGCAGGCTAGGTGGCTAGGGAAAGGAGGGCAAGGAGCATACACCCCCCTTCCTGTACCATTGTAGGCCATATGCCTTTTAACATTGGGAAAAGGGTACTTTGCGAAGCATATCTGCCCCCTTACTTCCTCCCCCTTCCTGAAAAGGCATATGACCTTCTATGGTATTGGAAGGGGGAGGGGGCGTACATTTGCTCCCTCCATTTCCTGGCCACCAAGGCTGCATGTCTGGATAATGGTCTGGTTGCAAGATTAGGGGAACCCCACACATTTTTAAAAAATTATAGTACTGCTTTCCATGTCTAGCCGGTGACAAAACATTGCTGAATTATATGCCAGCCCTGTACTGGCTTATAATTTAACAATGTAAATAGACCCCCATTGAATTTAAGAGCCCCTGTGCGCAATTATATGCACATAATTACCACTATGCACAAAGTTATTTGTAGTGCGCAGCTTTAAATGCATTTTTTTTTTGCATGGAATTTAGTGCACCATTGCTTATCCTTACTATTCAGAATCAAATTTGTGACGTTTGAGACGAATTTAGCGTTTTCCCGAGCATGAACAACAACCCTAATGCTGAATATTATCGTTACATGTATCAACCTCAAGCAGTTTTCAGAATACAATATCTTCAGAGACAGTGGTCCTTTAAGTAAAGAAAAACTACAACAATGTTAGATGAATGCTTTTTACACTTTAATTATCAAAAGCCATTGCAGAGAGGAAATATCTTCCCTTGCCTGGTTTATGTTCCCCTTTGGAATAATAAGTGAGAAAGCAGCAAAGTGCAAATCAATGAAGGTGCTCTGAGATTTAACATTTACAGCAATTCTAATATTTGGCTTAGCACAAGTCTTTTTTTCTTAAAGTTATTGCTTCATATCCGGTAAACTGTAATATCAATAAAAATATCTTAACATGAATAAAAAAGCTGCAAATAGGACAGAAACTGACTGAATGGGGTTGTCTAAGGATACTAAAATTAGGTTGCTTTGTCTGTGTTTTCTGGTTGTGTGTTTTTAACATATTGGCCCAGCCAATATCTATCTGCACACCTTTCTAATATTTCCTTTACTGCTAGTTCACATTGCAACTGCAAACCTCTCCTAAGGCCCCGTTCACATATAGCGACTTGTCGCACGATTTCCGCCGCGATATCGCGCATTTTTGCCGCGCAATATTGTGAGAAGTCGCCGGCCAATGCTATTCAATGGAGCTGTCTTAACTCCATGTCGCACGTCGCTCGTCGCGGTCGCAAGTCGCTTCTACCGGACCCTTTTTTCGGCGGATTTTGCTGTTTTTCTATGGAGCCCGACGGAGAAAGTCACGCTACCGTCGCTGGAACGTCGCCCCGAAAGTCACGCTATCCCGGCCGCTGCAAAGGTATGTCGCTATATGTGAACGGGGTCTAAGCAAAGTAATTAAGCTGTCTTTGTATTTCTCATTATTACACTTTTAAGAAACCTCCTAAACGAGCTTGTTCAGTACTATCGGTTTAGTGCTAATATTGTTCTGACAGAAATATGTTTTTATGGGATGGAGGCCTTCTGGACAAGTCTTCATCGAATGTTTTATTTTAAAACAATAGTAAGTTTCCAAAGGAGAAATTCATTAACCCCTTCATGACTGAGGCCCTTTTTTCATTTTTTGCACCCATGTTATATTCCACATTTTAGGCCTGAAAATGACGTAAAACCCATTAATAGCATTTGTAAATACTACCACTGGAGGTTTTATATATAGAGTCAAGAGGTGAATATTTAAAGTGACCAGCTCTGATCACTTCTGGGTTCAGAGCTGTCATTCTCCAGCATTTGTGGGCCTG